GGGGTGTCCAGAGATAAACGGGATAAGAGATCAGGGTGGTGGGGGCGGGTAGTCTGTATATGGTGACTGTCCAAGTCATCCTGAAGACTGCTTTTAGTCTTGAGGGAAGCAAGAAGTCATTAGAGGGATTTGAATAAATGACCTACCTACCTTAGGAAAAACCCACTCTGACTACGATGTGCACAATGGGCTCTCGGATGACCAGACCAAAACTTAAGAGATGACGCCAGCTAGGAAGTAACCGCGATGACCCATGTGAGTGACAACGGTAGCTTGATCTGGGGCGGTTAGTGGTTGAAGTAATATGTACTTAAGAAAACCGTGTGTGTGTGTGTGTGTGTGTGTGTGTGTGTGTGTGTGTGTACACAAGTGCGCGCGCACACACAGGGTAAGTAAAAAGTTGCTACTAACTCACAGAAACCTTTATTAAACAATAATAGCAAAATGAAAAGCTTTTGTCTCGACAGCGCCTCGGTGGCGGTGTGTCCAGTTCTAAAGGGGGTGGTTTCATCATGGTAACCCTTCCGGACAGAATACGATGTTCCTCACCTGACAGCAGGTCAAACGGCACTGTGGGCATCCTTGAGAAACTCACCTCTGTGCCTTTTAAATATTCTCTGCATTTAGAGGACAAAAAGAAGGTTGAAGAGGCAAGACCCGGGCTGCAGGTGACCCTTGGCCACCCTCCCAAGAAAGACCAAGCAGGTGCACGAGAGGAATTCCTCTGCGTAACTTGGCTGACTGTTTTCTCACCAATGTCACTTCCAACTTTCTGAAGACTTCTTCGTACGTGCCTGTGATCCACCTGTGTACTTAGTGAAAAAAATCTTTAAGATGACTCCTTTGGGAATCTCAAAAGAACAGTCACCTTAACGTCCTGGGCTGACCTGACCTGAGGCCCAACAGATCTTCTCAGAAGTCCAGGTTTTGAGTGGATCTCTTTTTGAAGGCACTCTAACCAAACTAAGCATAGTACTGAGAGCGCTTGTCTGCAGACAGCCAACAGTCACAGTGGCATGTCTAAACATGTTTTTTGCTTTTGGAATAAACCTAAGCATGGATAAACTATAACTCTAGTAGCAATCCTTTTTGACTAACCTTCGTGTGTGTGTGTGTGTGTGTGTGTGTGTGTGTGTGTGTGTGTGTTTACAGGGATAGACATTCAAAGCAAGGAGGATTCCAAGAGCTTTTGGGAAAATTCCATTATCATTTCATTCCATTTTTCCATGAACTTTTTAATGAACCCCTCATATATAAGTAAATATACAGATACAAAATACACAGATACATATACTTATATAGACATAGATATAAGCAAGTGCGTATGTATGCTTCTATATATATGAGTTATTAGTATATATGTTAGTATTTACAACTATTAAAGTGGATGTAGAAGAAAATAAATGCAAGCTGAGCCCTAAGATGTGCCTTAAATTAAGCTGGACAGGCAGTTGAGTGAACTTTAAATAGAGTAAGGATAATAATGAAGTGTATGATTATATTGGCATCAATACAGATCTATGTATTGACATTTAATAAAACATAAGGTTTCCCAACATATTCATTCATTCATTCATTCATTCACCAAACATAATGAGGATTTACAGTCTAGTGGGGAATTTGGAATTGCTATCCCCAGAGACAGTTCAAGTGCTGTGGGGAGACAAAGTAAGGATAACTAATCCAGACTTGGAGGGTCAGGGTAGGCTGCTCAGAGGGAGTTCAACAACAACCAGGAAGCTCACTGCCATCGCATCACTGCTGCCTCATAGTGACTGCTCTATAGGACAGTGTGGAACTGCCTCTGTGGGTTTCGGAGACTACAACTCTTTACAGGAGAACACAAACTCAGTCTTTCGCCCACGGAGACCTTGGGGATGGCAGCCCAGTTTGCTACCAGAGCTCCTGTGGTGGAGGGAGTGGGGGAGGAGAGAGAAAACAGCATTTACAAGAAGCTGAATTGAAAGACACGGAGTTATTCCTCGGGAACTGCCAGGAGTTCAGTGCAGGAAGTAGAGAGAGGGGTGACACTGGAGACAGAAGGGCTCGATTATGAATGTACTTTAAACTTCTAGGGACTTTGAACTCTTCTGTTTCAGTGATTCATCAAGGAGACGCAGCTGCCTGATAGTGGCAGCGGGGAGGAAGTGACTAGGGCTCTGGATAAGAGGACCGAAGAGTCAGGGATGACAGCCCAGTGTGTGCCTTGGACACGTAAAGTAAGTGCACGGTGCTGCGCCTTTCTTACGAAAAGGCGAAGACAGGGGTGGTGGGTGCTGTGTTGAGTATCTAGACAACTGACCACGTAAGTCTACCACTTAGCCATCCATTCGAGGCTAGAGCTGTTGATCTGGAGTCCCCAATATAAAACTAAAGTCACAAGGGCGTGTACATTAAAATCTTGGGGGTGAAAAAAGAAGACAGCAGGTGAATGGAAAGGGCCTGCCTTAGAGGCATCGGACAACTAACATGCACAAGGCAAGCAGAGGCACAGGAACAAGGGGACCTGGAAACAATGTATCCCACCCACAAAGGAGAAAGGGCTTCAGAGGTGTTATGCCATATTTTATTATTTATGCTCTTCTAAAATCAACCAACAATTATTTTTTTAGTAGCTCCAATACATTTAAGGAGCCCCGATGGTGCAGTGGTTATGCTTTGGGGTGCTAACTGCAAGGTCAGCAGTTTAAAACCACTGGCCAGCTCCTCAGGAGAAAGAGGAAGCTTTCTGCTTCCGTAAAGAGCTACTGTCTCAGAAACCCAGAGGCAGTTCTATCTTGTCCTAGAGTACTGGTTCTCAACCTTCCTGATGCCGGGACCCTTTCATACCATACCATTCCTCATGTTGTGGTGACCCCCAAACATAACATTGCTTTCATTGCTACTTCATCACTGACATTTTACTACTGTGATGAATCGGGCGACCCCTGTGAAAGGGGTCGCGACCCACAGGTTGAGAACCACTGAGGGTCTCCACGAGTTGGAATCGACTCCTCAGTGGCAGTCAGCTTGGTTTTCTGGCTCAGAGCCCACCACTCACTCCGCAGGGAAAGCTGTGGCAGTCAGGGTCTGCAAAGATTTGCAGCCTGGCAAAGTCTCTGAGACAATGCTACTCGGTCCTATAAAGTCACTACTGAATTGGAAATCAACTCAATGGCAATGAGTTTATAATACATATAAGTATACGATCATCTTACTAGTGGGAGAAGTAGAGCATAAATATGAAATAAGTTAATTAGCATTAATCTCTCTTCATAACAGACAGCAGAGGTGTTGAAACTTCCAGGACTGGGCAATCCTGTGGACTACAGACCAATAAATAAAAAAAATCACTGTGGAATAAAAAGTTGAGGAAAAGTATGTTTTGTCTGTTTGTTCATGTGTTGGAGAAATTAGGTTAGACCATGGAAGTCTGAACATGAAGGTGGGGAGGGCGATACACCACAATGAACTCAAAGGAAAAGTGTATGCATAGATATTTTATCATTCATGTCACTAAAGAACACATCACAGATGAACTTTTATACACATACACACTCACAGGCACCAAGACACTTAACTGGTCCAAAGTGAGTGAAGCCAACCTTTAAAAGCACATCTTCAGATGTGCAAAGCACACTATTTTGTGTGAATACAATCAATGCCATCCTTCCATCCTTTGCGCATAATGCCGACAGTGGTCTGTCACAATTCCTGATTTGAAGGAAGGTTTTGTTTGTTTGTTTTGTAAACTTCCAATACATTGAATTCTAGCACCTAGGGTAAACGGAGAAGCTTCTGATTGTTTTTTAAACAAAGGAACAGACCTTAATCATAGAAGGTGAAATTAGCTAATCAGATAAATAAATTTTAAAAAAACCAAGAGATACCTATTAATCCACTACTAATTCACTTACTAATTCACTTCATGGTTGAGTTTAGGGTTTGTTTTTGTCTTATTCTCATCGACTAGCATTACTATCAAGACAGAGATGCTCGACTCTTGATTAGTTAAAAAAAAATTTTTGTAAGTAACATAAATTTGTGATTCAAATACATTTAAAAACAGCTCTTGGTTTTTTACAAATTGACAGTAGTCTGGAATGTAGACACGTCTAAGAAAATTGGCACAAAACTTAAGTGCAGTGCTTAAAGACCTAAAAATTTTTAAGAATTCCGATGGCTACTCCCTTTTTATCACGAATAAAAAGCCCCAAGGTTTAATGTACACTGGCAGCACCGATGATATTACTGGAGGCAATGATCATTACACAAGTTCTCCCCTCACCCTCTGGGGTTTCCAACACTGTTTTCTGATGCCTACAGCCCCTGAATTTCTATTTTCATGTAAAATCAAAAGAAAACATATGCCTATGCTTAACAATGCTAAACAATCTAATCGTCCAGTATCAAAATTAAGAACTGTACATATTCTTTGTGCAAATGAAATAGATGCAATTCTGTTTGCTTTTCCTCAAACTAAAACAATGTGATTATGTCAACAGTAAGGTCCAAATGGTAACACATTTCACAGGGCTTAAGAAAAAAATCACATGTAACTATCATTGATAATAAAAGCCAAGTGCGCCACTGAAAAACACTGCTTCCTCACCAAGGATGTATGTACCATATATACTCGAGTATACGCCGACCCGAATATCAGCCGAGGCACCTAATTTTACCACAAAAACTACATTAAAAAATGTGCTAAAAAACTCGGCTTATACGTGAGTACATACAGTATGTATTGTAACTTCTTGGTCTGCAGGCATCCTTTAAGTGACAAAAACTGAAATAAATAACCCAACTTTTTTTCTTCCCAAATGACACTAGTTCTTACCCATAAAACGCAAATAAGAGTACTAATTAAAGTACCCACAAGACAACTAGGACAAATAAGGCTTTAGGATTATCGCACATATCATTATATAACTACAACTAAGCAATCCCCAGAGGAGTTATTCTGACATGACAGGAGCATAGCATTTTGGTGTGATAGTTAAGCTTTTCCCAGCAAGCAGGTGTCTGCGGATGTCAAGAAGTAAAGCCATGCTTCTAAAGGCAAACTCCTCAATAAATCCTAACAGCGCACTGTGTACTGCGCATATGCTTTTGATTCTGAGGTGAAGTCCAATATGTGAGGCACATTGTCCTACATGTGTTCTGAACACAAATTTAACCTCTGATTCACTTTTATTATAATGACAAAGCTCACATAATACTTAGAACTTGACCTTGCTGCCAAAGGGCCAGGAAGTTAAACTTTAACAGTTGAGTTACAAAGAATTGGTAAGACCCTAAGGCCTTGTCAGTGTTGCTCACCTTTCAATAAAAAGCACAGGTACTCTCAAAAGTAAAATCTGGGGGCATAACACTGCACAGCATGCTTCCTAAGCAAAGCAGGGAACACCATCAAAGACAACACAAACACAGGACATTCGTCATCAAAGAAAACTCCAACTACAAGGAAGGAAAAAAAGACAATGGGTTTTCTTGAATCGCATCTGCTCACAGAAATGTTAGGGTCCCTGCTATCAAACTGCTTGGTATGTGCAGTGGAGAGCCCTCGCAAAGCTCTGCATAAAGACTCAGGGCTGAACACTGAGCAGGCTCTTGGAAAGAGCCTGGTCTCCACAGCAAGCCACCAGCTGGCACGCTGGAGCGCTCACAGAACTCCTCGGCGCTGAAAGAAGCTCATAAATAAAAGAACAGTACAGGCCCGGGATTTGTCAGGAGCTGGAGTTACTATCAGATGGGTCTCCAAGGCGGGGCCAAGTCGGTCCACGGGAAGACACTTGTTTTTCTACGGAACACAGGGAATCTACCCCTGCTACTGGGTCATCTCTGTGCCCCAGTTCCCGGTGCAACAAGCAGACAAGCTCCCTTCACGCTCACGACCTTCCTTGGAAAGCAAGACCCACACCCAAGACACCAATCTACCCACAGGCCAGCATCCATTCCAACACGACTGAGGGCTGGGGGCCGACGACAAGTACGGGGGTCCCTCTTCTCAGCGTTCACAGCCATCCCCAATGGGAGAACGAACGGGCCGCCCTGAGTAGGGTGGACAGCACTGGAACATTCCAAAGTGACAAACACATTATTGAAAAGGATCACGGGAAATTCCTGGGACCAAACATGGGCAAAGCTTCACCTCACTCTCCATCAAGCACCCACCAAGGGGCTAAAACCCCTAAAACATGCTTAGGTCCTGAGATCTGGTGGCAGCTGACCACCAGCTGGCAGGCGGCCCCAAGAGTACACACAGGTGCAGTCGGGCAGCACGGGTGCTCTTACCTCGCAGGTCGGGGACACGCAGGCCTTCAGCTGGTCACCATCTCCCTCGGGCAGCCCAGTCCGACGCGTGGCCATCATTTCATTTCAAGTGACAGAGAAGAAACAAATCCTTTGGAGTCCACATCGGGAGGGAAAATGCCGCCACAGATCCGAAAAGAAAGGATTCCCCCCCAGGCTCCCAGGTGGTTGCAGGGCTGGAGAGCCAAATAACAGCGCCAGGAGCTGCCGGTGGCGGTGAAAGCCCTTCACAAAGCCTCGGTGATTTCTGCGGACACCAGCGGACGGCGCCGGCTCCTTCCACGTCTTGAGAAGCAACAAAGGAGAAGTGAGGGCGAGGAAGCCACGTCGAGGCCGAGGAAGACAGGCGGGGGCCACCTTTCGCCTAGTCCTGCCGCGCCGCCGTGCCGTCAAGAAGCAGCTGAGTGTGGCATGAAGGCTGCAGCGTCGGCCCCCAGGAAGGCCGTTCCTAGAACAGGAAAAAGTTAAAGGGCGTGAACTTTCCCCACACGCTGTTTTCCCCGTGTCCACAGGTCTACACCAAGTTCGCCTTTACCACCCTTGTGCGAATTACTTGGCCCAGGCTGAGGATCCGCACACCCGAGCGCGGAAGGCAGCATCCCATACAAAAGAATGGGCAAAAAGGAAAAAAGCCTATCAATCAGCGGGGACAACGAGAAGCAGCAGAATTGGAAGGGGAAGGCAGTCAAACAAGTATGGGTGTTTTCCTCTTTAAAGAAGAAAAAAAGAAAAGAAAAGCACACGCGTTTGGGAGCACATTTTAAACAGCATCGTTCCTGAGCTGAAGGGAGGGAGTCTAGACGTGTATGTGAGCTGACGTTTTCTCCCCAGGGACCTAAAATCAAATCCTCCTACTTTTCCAGCACCCAAATTGTTCCTTCTCCTCCCCCGACCCTTGCAGGCCCAGCCGAAGAGGGCTGGGGACAGGGCTGCCCGGCGCCGGGTCTCCGGGCGGCGGCGGCGGCAGTTTTCCGTGGCCCGCGGCGGGGCCGGGCGCGGCGGGGCCGCGGGTGCGAACCCGGGGCAGCTCCCTCTCGGCGGCATGAGGCTCCAGCTACCGAAATGCAGCCGCAGCTCTGAACAACTTTTATGTCGTTAGCTGCTGCCGACACTGCCGCCCCCCGCAACCACCTAGGAGAGGGGGTCCAAAAAAAAAAAAAAAGGGAAAACGAAAACCACCACCCACCTACCACTCTCCTCCGCCCCTTCCTGAGGCGGGTCGGCGACCGCGATCTCCCGGGAAGAGCGGCCCCAATAGGTACTTTTAAAAGGCGCGTGGAGACCAGGTCGTGGGGAGAAAGTAAGGGACAGGCTTACCCTCGGCGCCCGGCCGTGCCCCAGCTCCAAAGGCGCGCGGGCGAGCGGCGGCGGGGACGCGGGCCGG